GGCTTCCTGTGAGTGCTGAGTGCAGGTAAGAAAGCACTGCAGCTGTTTGACCAAGTCAGGAAGCTTCCTGGAGGAGGTGACCTGAATAATGGGTGAGACCACATGTCTCCAGCACAACCCTTCAGGGCCCTGGTTGTGCCCTGTGGATGGTGGACAGGAAGGAGTCAGGTGAGAAAACTGAGGAACCACAGATGCAAAACTGCCTTCTTTCTTGGGCCACAAAGCAGAGCTGAACTAACACTCAGATGTCCGAATGCCCTCTCCAGACCAAACTGCAAAGTGTACCCAAATTGATAATTATTTTTATGATTATTGTCAGTGCTTGTACTGATAATGTCTTGCTAAAGTATTATCAGTGCTTCAGTAGTGAAATTATAATTAGTAAAATTATAATTACAAATATTATAATCAATTATAATTAGTGAAAACTAGTGAAATTATAATTTCATTATATTACAGACAATATCAGTAATTTTGTCTGCAGTGAATTCAGCATAGTGAACTTGCAAGGATATACCTTAAAGACTTTTGTATAGTGAGGATGACTACATCAACAATGAGCCTGAAACAAGGGACAAATGAGTATCTGTCAGGTGACTGGTGGCCTGGCCTGTCTTTTTCACATATTCCTAGAGAGAACTGAGCGATTACCTTGGAAACACTGACCAGTGACCCGGTAACACAAGAACTTGCCCAGCTGGCATTCTGGGAGTCCCACAAAGCTTTCCGCCCTCCAGCCTTGAGCTGCTTTTTTTCTTTTTTTTTTAAGATTTTATTTATTTATTTGACAAAGATTACAAGTAGGAAGAGAGAAAGAGGGGGAAGCAGGCTCGCTGCTGAGCAGAAAGCCCAATGCAGGACTCGATCCCAGGACCCTGAGATCATGACCAGAGCCGAAGGCAGAGGTTTAACCCACGGAGCCACCCAGGCATCCCAGCCTTGACTTTTCTAATTTCTGGAACCCTTCCCCCTCTGAGTCCCTCAGCACAGATAATACTCTCTCATTCCCTATACCTGGATGAAGTTCCCTTCGTATTCAAAGAAAAGCAGTGGCAACGTGATGCTGGTGATGGAGGGGAA